CAACAAAATGAAAGTAAGAGCATCAGCTAGTAAAACACAGTTCAGTTATCGTGAGGAAAAGGTTGTGATAGGAATTGAGTTAAGATTAATTTCAGAAAGAAAAAGATCAAGTAGGTGTTACGGGTTCCATGTTTTCATCCATTTGGTTAACCCTGCCTGGTAGCATATTTTACAAGTGGATTTTGCTCCTTCCCTTGTTTTTCTATAGGTAAACAGAGGGTAAGGCCTTACTCTCCACGTTACTCCATAGTACTTGGAGTTATATGCAAGGAAACCATGCTGCCTTCTCAAAAGAGCATGGATTCACATGGCAGTGCTCCCCATTCCAGGTGTTTATCCCTCCTTTCTTCAGGCTAAACTACCCCAGGATTTTGAGAATGCTCCACACGCCTTTGTCAGTGTTTCATCAACCGAGTGGTCCCGGGATGAGGTTGTCAGCCTAAAGGGTTTCACAAAATCAATAAATTAAACCAAAGAGCAACTCAAAATTCATTTATAAAATATGTGTTCCTTACAAAGCTATCCTAAGACAAAATGGATTACTTCTATGGAACCCTCACCTACTTAGAGGAAGTTAGCTCCTAGTGAGCATTTTTACAAAGAAATAAGAAAAACAAAGAGACAACCAGTCCTAGGATGGGTGCTGATCCTCCTCTTTATGAGGATTGCTTGTTCCTTTTATAGGGTTCTTCATTTGATCTCCATTGTTCCTTTCATCAAGGGTCGTGCTTTGTCTAAATCCTCTCCAATGGTAGCTTTGTTTCTTGCCAGCTTGGCCTTAAATGGAAGTGGTCCCCCTTGCTTTTGGCTCCCTTTGTGAGTAGGAGTATCGGATTCAGGGTGGCACCTCCACTCCTTCTGCTGTAGCTGACGTGGCGGCTCCCCATTGCTCAGCTTCTTTGCTTTCGTACTGTAGCAAAGGCAGCACCTTCACCTTCTCTGCTGTAGCTGACGTGGCAGCTCCCCATTGCTCAGCTTCTTTGCTTTCGTACTGTAGCAGAGGCAGCACCCCATTGCTTCTTTTGACTGCTGTTGTACTATAGCAGACTTCTTTTTCCTTTCTGCGCAACACTCCTTCTTCTCTCTTCATTTTGTGGTTCCTTTTGATGGGCCTTAGGTGTCCTGAACAAAGCAATCTAACCCAGTAGTCATATGTGAAAAAGATAATGTTAAATTTGCTTCAGGTCTACCTTAATTCCCACTTTCGACATTGCTCTGGTCCACTATTCAAAACAGTTGCTCTATATGAAAAGAAGAAGGTTAAAGGGCGTGATTTATAACCAAAACATGGGTTTTGTGGAACAATTTGCACTTAATGAGCCTCAACTCTTGAGGACTATCAATTATTAATCTAAGTTTTAGGTAGTTAATTACCACAGGTAGCTGAAGATGTGGGGTGTTCAAGCTGCAGTGACAAGAAACCTCCGCAACACAAGAAACTATAATCAATTATTTGGGAGAAATGAATATTTTTGATGAATCTGAACATTATTATTTTAAGGGAGACACGAATATCATATTTATGGATTTGGCTAGTAGCTTTACTCACGATGTTTTATATGATTAATACGCATAGAAAATTGATAAATTCTATTTGGTCCTCCAGAAGATAACATTAAAAAAATTCCATTTGGTTACATATGCAATGAGATCTAGCAGAAAGTACTCCCCAATAGAGTAGCTACAACTTCCAGAAACGCTTGTGAATCATAAAAGAGGTGCAAAGCATGATTTTTTAACCAAAGAAAGAAGAAAGAAAAAGAAACAAAATATATATTCAGCGAGGTCAGTATGACCAACAGCGAGTAGCAAATAGCAGCAAAACCTAATATTGATTAAATAGTTAACATTAATGCATAAATCAATTAAATTCAATACATACCCATCACATAGTTAAGATTAATAACAAAAATACAACGGTAGCAATAAAAAAACCTTATAATATTGATCGAATTGAACCAATATAACCTCTGCAGCCTTCAAAGTCTTGTCAATATTCTCCCAAGCTTTTCCAATAGAGTTTTCTGCATCTCAGTAGCAAGCAACAAATTTGTAAACCCCAACTGAAGAAGGAACTAACGCAATCAGGTAAGAGCAAACTAAAACTCACGACCCATACATTGGGTGACATACAAAACCTACTACATTTAAGCGATTGAGAATAAAAATATACCAAAAAGATCTGTAATCTACGAGCAATCAACTCCAACAAAATCAATCGATACTAGGGTTTTGCGATTCATATCCAGAATTGAAAGAGGAGACTCATATAGTAGAATATTCCTAGATTTGGAAGAATAACAGTGAAGTAAGTGCAGAGAAGAGAAGGGGATAGAGAATTTTTGGATTTTCTGGAGAAAATGTATTGTGGAAAACTAAAGTTTGGAAGAGAGAAGATGTGATTGGTTTGAGTAATTTTGGCCTTTGGGCCAGCCCCATCCTAACCCTATAAATGAGAAGGCCTCAAGAGGTTAGAGCTGAAATAATCCGATTATATTGAAGGCCAAAATTTAATAAGGCTTAATGGGCTGACCCTAAGCCCTTCTTGACATCTCTATATATCACCACATTAGTAGATAGATCCAAAAACTTATTTACAGTTTTGAATATGTGCATTTCAGTTTTGAATGAACTCCATTCACCAGGCAACTTACTCAACACAAGACCGACAAAAGATTATCAAACATATTAGATTTATCTTCTTTTAATTTGTTTCTCATGTTCTCTAATTCAATTAACTGAGGTGATACTTGAATTATATTAAATTTTAATTCAAAGAACTTCTCTACTAGAAGAGTTTTGTAGAGCCCTTTTTGTTTTTGGAATTGAGCATTCAAGTGATTCTATATCTCTTTTGCCATCTTATACTTACTATAAGTCATAACTAGATGAGGATTTGGAGAATTTAGCAAGTAATCTCTATAAAAATATTTATTTTTGTTCCATTGATATTTATCATATTTTCAATGGTAGATGCAAAATCACTTAATATAGTATATAATATTTCACGTTCTTTTATACTAAATTGAACATGTAATTTTCAACCATAAACTCAATAACATCAAATGATTGCAGCTTTATAATATCATAAGAATTTCATTTAGTCATTTTTAATCAGAGCTAAGAGTTAGAAATAGTGCATCTTGCAGTACACGAACTTCATAAATTAGTGCAAAGACTTTAACTTTCATCTAACTGCTCTACAGAGTTGGAATTTGCCAAAACAAAACCCAAAAATGGATTTGGAACACCCAATAATCTTAAGATGGACTACCCCTATTGCTAGAAACTCAATGGAATATTCCCTGATTATTGGAATATTCTTTCAAGGAATATTCCCCTAATAATAGAATATTCTTACGAAATATTCTTTTTCGCAAGAAAATGTACCTGAAACTTCAAATGGTCATATCTTCTTTGTTCGATCTTCGTTTAAGGTGAGTGACTAGTCAAAATGATCATCTCGACGAGAAGAACAAAACCCAGTAGGTTTCACTTCCTGAAAATGGTTGAAATTTCTGCGATCTGGACCGAAAAGTTGCAATTATAGTATCTTCCAACTCAGATACCGGGAAATCCTTCTGTCGAATTGCGAAAGGAATTACACATATGAGTTCCTCTCGATAATATCTTCAAATAGACACCTTACTCGCTCAAAACTGACACACGAAGCTAATACTTCAAGATTGTTGGAGGTTATGAGTTTGAGATAGAAGAGTTTAGAACTCTTGAAGTATTACACCAAAAGGCATTAAGTTTGAAATACTCAACAATGTTACCTCCAGTTTAGGAGAGACAATGAAAGCTAAGGGCTCCAGCCCATATGGACCCAAATAATCATACTCTCACTTATTAGGCTTGTATGTCAATATACTAATTGGACTATATTATTAATAAAGAATATTACTCTCATGTTACATGAGAGAAAAATTATATCATGCACTCACAAAATAGTGAGAAGGGAGAATAGAGGAAAGAGAAAAAAAATATAAAGTGGACTTCACTTTTAATTTGTGAATGCATGACACAATTTTTTTCTCATGTAACATAAGAGTAATATTCTCATTATTAATATATCCAAAAAAGTATGCAACACTTACATAAACTATATGAATACTCCAATTTTTTTTATTCATCTAACAAGGTGATATGACATAACCAAGTTATGAATGGTAGTTTTTGCTCTTTTCATTTCCTTTGTTTTCGGGCAACTTGGAGACAACCCTTTCGTTGTTAGCTAGTTGATAGATAAAACTTGTCATATCAATTGGACTTTGATAACAGCCCTTTCATGGTTAGCTAGTTGATAGATAAAACACTTGTCATATCAATTGGACTTTGGAAACAGCCCTTTCATTGTTAGCTAGTTGATAGATAAAACAATTGTCATATCAATTGGACTTTGGAACTAAGAAGGGGAACAATGAGTTAATATGACCATAACCACAAAGAGTTGAGGTACAGATAACGCTAGTAACTACGAAAAAAATTGTATGGAATTCAACAAAATTTAAAGATGATAGTTAGATGAAATAAAGTAATAAAAAAGATGCATACATTCAAAAATTTAATAAACAAACCCAATGGGTATAACTTAGTTGACAACAAAGAAATAAATAACTTTAATTAAGACTAAGTTCTGACTCGAATTTAAATAGTCTCATAGGCAATTTAAAGTTGAAGCTTGTGGTAATATTTAGGATCGACTTGTCTTATAAAGATAATTAAGGTTGGTATAAAAAAAATTAATAAACATGCTAAATTATTATAGTAGAAGTTACAATAAATTTAATTCTTTTAAATATGAAATATTCATTCCCTTCTCTGTCGGAAATAAACCTCAAACTTAATTATAATATAGTTACAGAAAAAATAAAAAAGGATTATTTCCTTAGTTATTTTTACAACCCAAATGCATTTTATTCTAAATCATTTAGTTCTCCAATACACACACAGACATGACATAATGGTTTCTACCCGTCCTTGGTACAATTCTTCCATTAAATTTCTCTTCGTGAAATCTTGACCTTCAAACCATGCTTCATAAGAAGTACTATTGAAAGGTTCGGGGTAGCAAGATGACCTTCCACCGGTTTGATATGATAATTGCACAAAATATTAGTTGCCACCATCTTCATCTGAACGAAGGACAAGTCTTTTCCCAAACAAGTCCTTGGTCCTGCATTAAAACTTACGAATTTGTAAGATGGTACATAAACAATGCCTCCTCTCTCAGAGACCCATCTTTCTGGCTTGAATTCCAAGCAATCTTTTCCCCATATTTCTTCAAGTCTCCCCATTGCATACAAAGGAAACAATATCATTGTTTTGGGATTAACACGGTGACCACTTGGAAGTACGTCAGAATTTATTGCTTCCTTGCGCTCAAAAGGTATAGGAGGGAAAAGCCTTAGAGCTTCACATAAAGCACCATGAAGATAAGCTAGCTTTTTCAGCTTCTCCATGTTTAAAACCCCTAGCTTCTCTTCTTTGGCACCAAAATTTTCTTTTATCTCTTCAAGAATCTTGGCTTCCACTAATGGGTGTGTAGCAACAAGCCAGAAGAACCATGTAAGTGCTGAAGCTATGGTATCTCTTCCTGCTACAAAAAGATTGAATGCTGCGTCTCTTAGAAACTTGTCGTCGTGTTGTTGTTGTTGTTCCTTCTCTTCTCTCATCAAATATGTTAGCAAATCAACGTGAGCTTCAGCTATTTCGTTATTTTTGTCGCACTTGCTTAGCTCTTCTTGCTTGGACGCTATGCATGCATATAGGAATTCATCAAAAATTTTACATGCTTGTGTTAGCTTCTTCTCTTGACCAATTTGAAGCCATTTCTGAAACTTCCATACACATTTTGGAACCACGTGTCTGTAGAATATGGACTCTTCTGCTTCGTTAAAAGCCTTCTCACATGCAACTTGTGGAAAATCAATGGAAAGGCAATTAGGATCATGTCCTAGAACAATAGAGCATATGTTATCGAATGTGAAACGATTTAAGACATCTTGGAGATCCACCACTGTCCCTTGTTGGCGTACATGATCCAATACGGGAATCAAGGAACTCTCCAACTTCTTCTGAATGGTTTTCACTATGAACACCTCAAAGCTTGTTTGTTTAAACAAAGAATGGAGCAGAGACCTGTTGTATCTCCATGTATCTGAATCAGCGGTGAATATCCCATCTCCGAAAGGTTGAAACATGTCACGAAAATCGGAACCCTTGATGTAGTTGTCAAAACTCTTGCTCAGCATGTGGTGCACGTTGATAGGGTCACTAGTGACCATGAAGTTCATTTTGGTGAACCATGGTCCTCTGAACTCAAAAGTGCTACCACTTCGTTTCAACACCTCGGTTATAAAATCATGGATCCGCGACAAGTTCCAGAGGATTTGTGGTAACATGCCAAGGATAGGATAGTCTGTGAGAGCAGGGTATCTGTGACATCTTCTCCGGTGGAACATATATAGGAAGCATAGGAATGCAGCAATTATTTCTGCATAGCCAAGCATGGCCATCGCAAATCAGCGAAAAGCGTTTTTCAGTGGATACAAGGTCTTTGGATTTGGTTGGTCTGTTATGCGGGTGTGCCCTTATATATACTTCATCATCTGAGAGCCGTTAGATCAGAAAAGATCAATGGTGTCACATGCTTACAAATCAGAGTCGTTGATCTTACCTCACTATAGATATATATACATATATATAGATATACATATATATATATATAGGGGATCATGATTACATCAGTATAAGAATAATAAATTTTACACCAAATCTTAATCATTAGATCTTAACCGTTGAGTTATGTGTATCTAACGATTAAGATTTATTGGGCATAATAATTATTATAATAGGAGAAACAGAAAAATAAATAAGAGACTAGTAAAATAAAATAAAATGATTTCTTTTTTTTTTGATAAACAAATAAAATGATTTCGAAAATATTATTTTGGCATTACAAAATTTTCCTAAAAGATTAAATTGATATAAAATGTACATATTTTAATATATCAAATACAATAATTTTTTATTAACCAGAAGAAAGGTTAGGGCAGGTATTATCAGCAATAAAAGAAGCATTTATTAAATAAGGCAAAAGTCAGCATGCCATTTTAGAGGCATCAAGTATTCTAACAAGAAGATGTACATACAAGCTTGCTATGAACGAAACTTAATTAAAAACTTGATTTGGAACATGTGAATTGACACCTCAAATTGCCAAAGTAGGTAGGCATCTAATCCAAACAATAAAAAATGTAGAGATTAACATTTCTTATATTATATAAGATAAAATTATCTCTTACATACACATAAAAAATGCAAGAAATTATATGGGTCATATGAAGAGAAGATAAAAAAAAAAAATCTTACATACTTTTAAATGTGTATAGGAGATAAAATTATCTTCCACCATATAAAAAACTTAATCCCAAAAATATATCCAAACAAAAATGACGTGACCTATAGAGATTTTTACTACCGGGTATTTCTTTTCCCTATAGACATTTATTTCAATATGTGCAATAATTCCACATAATTATTTAAAACTAAAATTTACATAAAGAGAATAATTGTAATATAAAAATTTAAAATGTTCTTAATAATTTATTTTTAAATGAATAAGATGATTTATTAAGAAAATATAAAATTATTTATTCCAGTTCTGGTGTTGATTTTTATTTTTTGGGCACAAACAAAATGGAGCCAAAATAAGGATGGATTTACATGGGCCGGGCCAGAGAACTAGCCCCCAACCCCATTTAAATTTTTTCGATGATGTCATGCACAGCACTTTTCACAAATAGAGTTCGGTTTCCCACTAGGGCCCACCATTCACATAGTGCATGTTTGGATCATTTTTTTTTCAAGCTAGAAGCTACTTATAAGCATAAGCAGGTCAAACAAGTTTTGAAAAAAGCTCTTATAATGAAAAGCTCTTTTTTTATAATAAAAAAAAAGCTGAAAACTAAAAGCTCCTAGGAGGAGCTTTTTTTTAGCTCTTATCTATTTTTCTTGAATTATGTGCTTTTTTTAAAATAAAGAGTTATAAAGATAGACAGAGAGAAAATTTTCTTGAAATATGTTGTTTTAAGTAACTTTTAAGCTAAAACTTTTACGTGATTACCAAACAGCTTCTAAATTTTTTTTAAGCTTTTTTTTTAGCTTTAGCTTATAAGTAGCTTCTAGCTTATAAGTAGCTTTAAGCTTTTTGGCTGATCGATAGACTAATACAGAGAGTAGCAATTTGGATTGACATATCATATTGACGAAAATATAATATGAATTTTAAAATTGGTTAAAATATTGAGTTTTATAAGAGTTATGTTGTAGGAAAAATGATTGTGTTATGTTACAGAGATTCGTTTTGCGTGCGGTAGTTTTTTTGTTTTTTTTCCTTCAAAATATGCGGGTCCCACAAAATGTTGTGTGTATAGGCTTAGATAGAAAAACACCAAGGGGAGTGTTAAATGAAAATAAATAATTTTATAAAATTCATTAAATATAATTTTTTAAATTTTTTAGGCAGGTTAACCTGCCAACCTACCATAAAATGGGACAGGTTGGGCTTTTCAACCCACATTCAACAGGCAGAGCGGGGAGAGTCAACCTATTTTTGGGGGGTTGGCGGGCCAAAGGAAGATGTCATGCTTTGCTAAAGATGATTTTGTAAGAGGGAACATGCTAATGCTATCCTAAAAGTAGTCTTGTAAGCCAAAAGTGTATCATACAGCTTGCTAGACCAGTTTTTCCTTGAAGGATTGACAACCTTTTCTAAAATTATCTTAACCTCTTGGTTAGAGACTTCTATTTGGCCACTGATCAGAGGGTGGTATGGGGTTGCAACTTTGTGTCTCACCCCATACTTCTCTAATAGATTTTCAAACTAACGATTAACAAAATGCTTCCCACCATCAATGATGATACAACGAGGTGTTCCAAACCTTGTTAAGATGTTTTTTTTCAAGAACTTAACCACAACTTTGGCATCATTAGTGGGTAAAGCAACTGCTTCAACCCACTTGCTTACATAATCAACAGTCATTAAAATAAATTTGTTCCCATAAGAAGAAAAAAAAGACACATAAAATCAATACCCCAAACATCAAATAATTCTACCTCTAAAATTGGGTTGAGGGGCATTTCTCGTTGCTTGGTCAGGTTTCCTTCTCTTTGGCATATATCACATGTTTTAGCATAATTATGTGCATCCTTGAAGAGATAGGGCCAATAAAATCCATATTTCAGAATTTTAGCAGCAATTCTGATGCCTCTTAGATGACCTCGATATGGTGATGCATGGCAAAGGAATAAGATTCATTCCTATTCTTCCTCTAGAACGCATCTTCTTATCATTTGATCAGCACACTTCTTGAATAGTAAAGGTTCATCCCAGATATAGCTCTTACAATCATGTAAGAATTTCTTTTTATGATTCTTGTTTGCTCCATATGGTTATATTCCTGCTGCAATAAAGTTAGCAATGTCAGCAAACCAGGGAACATCCCTGCTTAAAAAGGAAAGCAGTTGTTCATCTGGAAACGTCTCATTGATTGGCTGACTTACTTTAATATGTTCCAACCTGGAAAGTGATCAACAATATGATTCTCACAACCTTTTCTATCCTTGATTTCAGGTTGAATTCCTGTAGCAGCAAAATCGATCTAATTTCTCACAACCTTTTATTCCCAATAATTACTCAGAACAGAATCTTTAGTGATCGAGGTGGTTCCTTATTCTTAAGGCAACCAGTGAAAGTGTTTCCACTCTTCACCTTTCTCCTATTGTTCAGCAGTCTGAAATCCATTCCTTAAGAAAGTTCCTTTCTCACTCATGTTCAATTTCCATTGATACAAGACATTAAAATACATAAACAACAGAAACTAATTGGATTTAGTAACAAAAGATTTGATTACATAGACTAAACAACTTTACAGATTATCCATTCTAAAAATAAATTAGCTTATGCCTAAAGACATAGCTGAAAATACATAAATAATCTTAACAACTTGAAATTCTATAAACCCGAGATACAAATTATGAAGACGAAGCAGATAGAACATAAATTACATACTCAAAGTAGTAACTGAAAACAGAGACTCAATGTAACAGTGGTAAAATAGAAATAGAGACTTTGATAAAGGTTGCTCGTGTGGAGACTTGAGGGAGAAGAGAAAAGACAAGGGTGTTGTTCTAAAGGTTAAAACTCAAGGGAATAATTTTCTTCTCAAAATCCTCCTTTTTCCTTCGTTTGATCTTCTATTTATAGAGCAGGTGCAGTGGTGGTATTCTTGTTATTATCAAGAGTCGTTCCATGCACTGTTTGACAACGTCTCCTCTTTTCTGATCAGACATAGGAAATGGATTGGGTTGATAAATATACAAGACATGTGTGTTCATTATTCCATATGCCTATAAACCATTCAGTGCCGCCCTTTTTAAGGTTTGCCCTCATCCTCCATAGACAACGTAATTGTGATTTTGACAAACCATTATCAGCTTTTTCATATCACTTTTACCTACAACGATTGTGAGATGGTTCGCCATACAGTATTTTTTTCATCTATACATCCTGCTTGCTCTCAAACACCTGATCCTTATAGCGATCTTGACCTTTCTGCCATTTTGGTATTTGCGCTCCATCCATTTCATCATACTCCTGATTTGGGTGTGCCCAGTTAATATTCGTATAATGGCTTAACTGAGACTAAAATCGTATAATATCATCTCCTGTATAATCACACATGCATAACAATTTATGGACTGTGTCATTAATATTTGTATTAAAAAAAAATTAGCCCATTAAAGTAATTAACCTGCCACTGGCGGGTCATGCATTCCGACAATGCATGGTGAAGGAATTGGATGACACAATGCACTAGACGAGCAACAATCGAAATCACCATCGACGTCTATATCCGATGAGTCACTGTCAGGAACAAGACCTTCGTACATCTCTTCCTCGGAACTATTCGCACGCCCAGCCGGATCACCTATGTTATGGGTAGGAATCATTTCTGAAGACATTGGTGGGAGTGACATATACCTATCTTTCGGATTGACCAGTGGCTCCTTGTTAATGTCGATCGAGTGACTGGAAGGGAGGGAATGTTGAGTTCTTGACTGTCCATCAGAGTTTAGTTTCGCATACACTTCGATGAAAGAGGACTCTCCATTCTCTCGAAATGCATCTACTACTAATGCTGCATCTTCATCCTCGACATTGTCCACAACAACCCACTGCACCGGGTTACCCAAGGTACATCTAGCAATCAATCAAGAGAGGGATTGACCCCGTTCTAATCTTAACTTTTTGTATATTATTTTCTTCAGGTCATTATAATTGCATCGGGCGCTCATGCAGAATATTTTTGTATCTCCTTCAAAAACTTGACCATTCGGTCCAAAATATCTCCTCCTATCATAATATACAATAGCGTTGCTACTCTCACTCATTATGTCAAATTACAAATACAATAAATAGAAGAAAGAAGAAGATACCATGGGTTCTGAATAA